TGGCTCTTTGGCTTTGAAACCAAGATGTGCACCACCCCCTAGAGTCAGGAACAACTAGCACATATGTGTGAGGGAAGCCTTTACCTTTTAATAGTATGTGAGACTGATCTAGAGAGACAGGAGGAAGAGCCACATCCTAGACAACCATCACACAAAAGGTATCCCAGCCTACAGAAGGAAAAGGGGCAAGGGAAGCATTTCATATGGGACCCTCTTTAGTTTTCTAGGACATAAAAGGAAAGGAGGGAGAAGTGCTTTCAGACCTGCAAGATTCTGTTACTGCCCTTTTACAATAAAGATAGTGTTAGAAAAGTAAGGTGAGAAGACTAAACAACAGCCTCCCCACAAGGCTCTGTAATGGCACATACACGATTCAATTTATACATATCAGATATGCCAGCAACTAGGCTAGGGGAATCAAATTTGGATCGTTGATGATTTGGCCGTAGCAATACAAAAAAAAAACACATGGATGTGGCAGACAGTCTCCTGTTAAACTCTTTGGAAAATTCTTCACTGCCTGGAGGCTCAAGCCTAGCACCAGCAAAACAGTAACTACGTGCTTCCACCTTAACAACAAACTAGCATATGAAGCACCAAAGATCTATTTAAACAATTTATTCCCCTATTGATCCCATCCAAAGTACCTTGGAGTAACATTGGACCAGAGTCTGTCCTTCAAGATACACCAAAAGAATACAGCAGCAAAAATCAATACTAGGAACAACATACTTCTGAAATTATGTGGAACTGAATGGGGAGCTTCAGCTGCCACCCTCAGGTTATCAGCACTAGGGTTGGTCTACTCCATAGCAGAACACTGTGTGCCTGTATAGCCATTAACAGCTGCCGTACTAGTAAGTTAGACGCCAGACTTAACGACACCATGAGGATTATAAGCGGTTGTATTAAAACCACTCTAACTTGCTGGTTTCCTCTTCTGAGCTGTATAGCACCACCAGCTTTACAAAGGCAACATGCACTGGTGAGAGAATACAGAAAAATTATGGACAACTCACTGCTAACAATAAATGCCAACCTTTCTCATTTATCAACCAGAAGACTCAAATCCAGGAAACCCCACTGGCACTTGCACAATATCTGCCCAATAACTTTAACATCCATTTCCAATAGAAAGCCAAATCGGTTGTTGAAAACCCAGACATAGGAAGACACATAAATGACCCCACAAAATGTGTCAGGTTTTGAACTACCACGTCAGCAATGAACAATCTTGAATAGGATTCGCAACTCACATGGGATCTGCCGGGACTCCCTATATAAATGGGCATAGAGTCCTCCCTTCAATGTGACTCCAGGGTCCCACTTCAAATTGTAGATTACATCATGACTGGCTGTAAACTGACGGCATAAACAGGTCCAATATCTGATTTTTTTAAAAATATCAATCAATCAGAATAGAGCTGGAAGGGACATTGGAGGTCTTCTAGTCCAATTCCCTGCTCCAGCAGGAGATCCTATACCATTTCAGATAGGTGGCTGTCCAGTCTCTTCTTAAAAACCTCCAGTGATGAAGCACCTACAACTTCTGACAGCAAGCTGTTCCACTGGTTAATTGTCCTCATTGTTAGGAAGTTTCTCCTTAATTTCAGGTTGCTTCTTTCCTTGGTTAGTTTTCAACGATTGTTTCTTATCTTGCCCTCTGGTGCTTTGGAAAATAAGTTAACCCGCTCTTCTTTGTGGCAGGCCCTCAAATACTGGAATACTGCTATGTCACCCCTAGTCCTTTTTTCTAGATTGGCCATACCCAATTCCTGCAACCATTCTTCATATATTTTTCTCTCCATGGCTTTAATCATCTTAGTTCTCTTCTGTGCACTTGTTCCAAAGTCTCAACATCTCTTTTGTAATGTGGTGACCAAAACTGGCTATAGTATTCCAGGTGTGGCCTTACTAAGGCTTTATAAAGCAGTACTAATGCTTCACATGACTTTGATTCTATGCCTCTGTTTATACAACCAAGAATTGTATTAGCTTTTTGGCTGCTGCTGCACACTGCTGGCTCATGTTTAAGTGATCATCCATTAGGACTCCAAGGTCCCTCTCACAGTTACTGTTTTTGAGCCAGGTTTCACTTAGTCTGTACTTGTACCTTTGATTTTTCCTGCTAGGTGTAAAACCTTGCTTTTCTTCACTTTAAATTTCATGTTGTTGGATAGAACCCATTGTTCAAGTCCATCAATGATGCTGCACTTCAATGTTAAATAGCCTAAATATTGGCATTTGAACACAGACTATTTTAACATTTATATTTTATTGTGTTTTATTAATCTAGATGAAATGTTTTATATGTTTTATGCAGGGGTGGGTTCTACTTACCTTTACTACCAATTCGCAACAGGGCCGTGCACACCCACTTGCTTCGCTAGTGCGCATGCACGCTCTTATGCGCATGTGCAGAAGCATTTTGATGATGTCGGGGTCGGTGGGCGGAGCCTCCTGCTGGTTTTACTACCGGTTCTATAGAACCAATGCGAACCGGGGGCAACCCACCACTGGTTTTATGGGACAAATGTTTTATATGTTTCATAGGAGATGTCAAAAATGTCAAGATGGCTATCTGAACAGGGCAGTCAAAGGCCTACCTGCTCGGCAGGTATACAATGCACATTATGCTACCACAGCCAATATCTTGACTTGTTTTTTTTTAAAAAAAAAAAAACAAAAACCTGCAGATATTACTGTCCATAGCCTGAGAGCTCACACTTTTCAATGTCCGTCTAAAAAGTTAATCAAACCCTGGATTAATTTTTAGCAAATTTAAAAGGAGACTGGTTAAAAAAAGTCAAATCCAACAGGAAACATTATTTTTTAAATGGCGTATGTAATTTAAAGAAAACTACTTAAAATCTTGGTTAAGAGTTGATTAACCACCATGGATGGACTGTCTTTTGTCACACAGACAAAACAATCAACAAAAAATGAAACATCTGCTAACTTGTGGTGATTCCAATTTATTGCATCCATACCCAGACTTTAGATGCCATTGAGTAGATTTAGGCCACTTTCAAAGTATTTTGTTTTGGTTTTCTGTAATCTACATCTTTTTTCACTGTTGCATCCATCTAAATAGTTCTTCTTTTCATTTTTTTTTCTCAGCATAAGCAAGTATTAAGTGAAATCTCCTCAGTTCTCCTGATGGGTGTGAGCAGGGACTGACCAAACAGGAAAGGAATTTGAGATAGTGATGCTTAAGGAAAATGTTGACACCATGTATGTTTCAATTTCCATCCTTGATATCATAAAGAACAGTAGGCAACAATCATTAATGTAATGCTTTAATACAACTCTATATACAGCATGAAGGCAATATTGGAATGTGTCTGTGTCTGTGTCTGTGTCTGTGTCTGTGTGTCTGTGTCTGTGTGTGTAGTCTTTGTCTTAAACCATAATGGTGCCTGCCCATCAAATGTCATGGCGGTTGTAAAACAGGTTGTTCACATAACTGACTCAATTTCTGACCTTTTTGTGGCGACTGTTAAGTAAATGCCATGGTCATAAAGTGAATCAATGAATCTCTATGAGCCCAGTTTTGCTGAAAAGTGTAGAAATGCAGATTTTCAGAAAAACACTCATAAAATGCAGTCACATGACTTCAGGACTCTGCAAACAGCTATAAACGTGGCCATGTTGCTAAACACCTGAAGTTCAGTCATTTGACTATGTGGGGGTGACCATCAGAACTTCAAATCCAGGTCATTAGTAACCCCAAGGTGACTCCCTCATAACTTCAAACAGTTGCTAAGCGACCTAGCATAAATTGAAGACTACAGTACCTGTACAGTGCTGATTACTAAACTTCAACAAGGATACTGCGGAGCTAAAAAGGTGCCAACAGAAGCAATTTAAAAAAACTGAAGGGGTGTGGAGGATTATTGTTCTATGGAAAGTGACGGCATTATGAGTTGTCTTAGTCAGGGTCTCACGGGGTGGAGGCTGCTTCTTTGACTCATGCCAAGGACTTTCTTCAAGTTCCCCTTGATGCAGTTTCTTTTATTTAAGAGAACACTTCTAAACATAATTCCGGCTCAGGTGAATATCAGCAGAGGAAATATGGATTTTAATTCAAGTTGCAACCAAGCTGTTTTCTTTCAGCAGAGCTACACTCTGCTCTCAAATGAAGACTTTGCTTTAGATCTTGTCTCTCTCCTTTTGGGCAAAGTCAGTGGCAAAGAATGAACTCTTTAGAAGAAAGTTGCTGGATATAAAACAAAAACACTCACTTCCCCAGCAGATGCCTCTTGAGATTGAAGTTTCATTTCTCTAAATATGCAATCCCACCTACATCTATTCCATAGTGATCTCACTAAGGTGAGTGAGATATACTTCTAGGCAAGTGGGTGTTTGGGTCTAATTTTTATTGGCATCCCAAAAATGCATTCTTCATTTTCTCTGGCAGCTCTTTGCTTTTATAGACAGGCTTGTTGTGGGGTTGTTTTTTTTAAAAAAATCCCGATTTTACACTCCCCCTGTGCTTCTAAAACAAGATCAGCTCCTCAAGGGGAAAAAAAAACTATACCAAATTATTGATCCAATGTACTGTAATCAAGGCCAAAATAATTCAAATGCGTATGTGTGGTTTCAAGCAAACAGCTCCTTCCTGGCGCCTAATCAGACTGCACTCTTTTCCCTGATCTAAAATCTGTGTAGGAGTAGCAGCCTGGCAACATATGAGTTAACAAGGCAGCACGTGTTAAGTTTAGCTGAGTAATGCACCTAGTTAAAGTTTTCAATGCAGCTGCAATTCAGAGTGAGAAGAAAGAGAAAAGCAAGCTCTGGAGCTGGTATTTCATGAGATGGACTCATTTTTAAAGGGGGTCATGAATGCAAGGTCAGTAGCACGCACTAAAATTAGGAGCCTGTTCTAATTTATCTCTTTCTTCTCCCCCCCCCCAACTTCTTCCTTCAGCACTCAGTGAGAAAGCTCAGCCCCTGAAGCTTATAACTCTTCCTCGGCAGTCTGAGTCACAAAGAGAGCAAGGTTGGATTGTTCAAGTTTAGGAAAGGAAGTGTCTCAGGAATTGCGACACTTGAAACATTTGATCGGACTCGATATACTAGATTCAGTCTTCATTAACAGACAGTGTTTTGATGTGGGATGGCATGGGGCTCGTTTTTGCAGGCCAGGACTTGAAATTAGGATTAAACATTGGTACTGCTTTGGCTTGGTATACCGTTGGGAAAGGTGCTGAACAGGTTGGGTAACTTTTCTGCTGTGGGCGGAATAATATTCTCCCCCTTTTGGGGGGTTGGTATTGGATTGTCAACTATTAAAGACAAAGCAAGCTGCATTGCCAGTCTCTTGAAATCAAGCACAGGTTGTTTTATTTCCAGGTATGCCAACAACAGTGTCTTTTATTAAAGGTGATTTTCCTAGGAGAAAATTGGGGAAATGCAGAAATGTGATAAAGTGGGTAGTTTCAAAAAAGGGGAGGGGAGAATGTGTTCAGCCCTGTCTCAGCAGAATTCCTTCTGTTTGTACTGTATGTGGTGTGATTGTTTGGTCACATTCACAACATAATTCTTTTTTTATGTAGCATTATTTGAAGATGGATGGATCACCCTATAATACATCCAAGAAGTGTATTGTCTTACTGTGGTCAACTCAATTGGGATTGAAGGAACAAGGTCTCTCTTATTCAATGGCTAACTGCAACAAATTGGGTCTTTGGGTCTTGGGTCTTTCTTGATCCCAGTTGGCCATTGGGTATAATTATGTTTATCTAATACTTATTCAGACATGAATAATGTCACACCTACATGAGAAGCAGGGGAGAGAATATACCATGCAAACTGCTTAATGAAGGATTTCTTGAAATGTTGGCGGCATGCATTTCATAATACTGTAATATTTAGGCTCTATAATTTCTCTTTTCTGTCATTTTCTTTACAGAATACAGTAGTTCTTAGAATTTAAAATTACCAGTATGCTGCATGGGGCATTCCTGAACACACCAACTCCGTTCAACCAAATAGTAAGCATGTGGAGTTTTCTAGATCTACCTGAGGCTGGAGTTTTTCACTGAGTAGAAGATCAACATCATGGACAATTTATCTTTATTCGACATGCTAGAGTGTCCAGTGTGCTTGGAAAAGCTGGATGCCTCCGCCAAGGTGCTTCCGTGCCAGCACACCTTCTGTAAGCCTTGTCTCCAGAGTATTTTGAAATCACACAAGGAGCTGAGATGCCCTGAATGTCGAACCCTTGTACTCAGCAATATTGAAGAACTGCCTTCCAACCTGTTTTTGATACGTTTATTGGATGGAATCCGGTTTGGAACAAACATGATGAAGTATGGCTCACTCCAACGATCCTCAGCCTTCTCCTCTCCTGTCTCCATCAGGAAAATGGGGGGAGGGCCAAAAAATCTAGAGCTGGATCAATATCGGATGACTTCCAGTCCCAGGATTCCTTTGGAAGAGGTAAGCAAGGTCATTTCTTTCATTGCTACCTGTATTAGGAAGATTTTTTTTCACCACTTTTCATTTTTAAGGAGTTGGATTAATTCAGCTAATTATAAAACAGTCTGACTTCTCTCTGAGGTCCCTACCAGTCTTAACTGGATTTGTATAACAACTCTTACTTTCATTTTAAATGTATTCCATCTGGAACTATTTCTAGCCCAGAGTTTGAGTCTTGAATTCTCAGAGGTTTGCCATCTCCAGCTGAGCCCGAAATTGAACTGAGACTTTTCAGGGTAATGTTATAGTACGACTCTTTCCAGCTTTAGATTCAATCAAGAAATGAAGAATTTATATATATGAAAAAGCAGAACTATTTTCACACCTGTCAAGGACTGAGAAAGGTTAGACTTTCGCAGAACCTTTTTTTAAAAAATATTTTGTCTTGTGCTGTTACAAAAGTAGCTTTTTTAAAAAATAAGAAACAGTGTTTTTTGATCTTTTGAAAGTGTGACAGGACCAGAATATGGATAAAAAATATGTCAGTTGTGTCCTAGATTCATTACTTTTCTAGTTATTCCAGTTCTCCTTAAATTGAAGGGTATATATATGTGAACACATGCACACAGAACTTGCTGAAAAGTTCACACAGACTCACACAAAATGATTGACTTGACACACACACACACATGAGGGTACCAACTGTATGGATCTGGGTGGCAGGCAGAGACAGCTTTCGGTTCATGTAATTAAGAACTTTTTTTTCCTTAATTATAAGTCTGTATGCTTTTAGAACAATTTTTCAAGAGTATGAATTTGCAGGCAGGTCCCTGCAATTCACTCTTGGTTAGGTGAGTGCTTTTCTATTTGGTATTAAAACCTGGAAGATGTTGAGCACCCTCTGACAATGGCCATTTTATTTAAAACTACAAAAATGTATTGAAAAGAATTGCGTTTTTAGGAATTCTCAAAACAAATTTATTAAGAAAGAAGGCAATCTACTCCAGTTGTATTTATTCATCCTCTCTGTGGACTGCCTGGGATTCCCATAACGTGTGGAGGTTGGTATGTAGGAGAAGGCAAGATTAGGATGCTAAGCCAGGTAAATAACAAGAGCAAATGATAGTGGGTGAAGTCAACAGGATGCCTTCACCCAGACTTGCCCAGCTTGAAGTTATCTGTAACCTAGATACTTTCCTAATTATACATCAGTGCAGCTTCATTCTCCTTATCTCATTCACGGTGCAAATAAATCTGCATAATCTGTTGTTGCAATTCTTATTCTCAAAAAGTAGCTTTGATAACCGGATACTCCCGTACAACTTTGCTTGAATAAACACAAATGATATGTGACTTTTTAATTCAAATCAACAAAGCTAATTCACATTGAACTAAGGTATAGGATCTGGCTTAAAGACCAGATTTCTCCTGAAGCCCTGAAGTGGGTCAGATGATGTAATAGTTCTATGAAAGCTTTGCGTCCTCTAAAACCATATCCACCCCCAGATGTCACATAGTTTTTAGAGTAGCAGGTTGAAGAACGTAGGAATGTTTTGAAGTGATTCCTCCCTGATGCATGTACTTGAAAATGTTCCCAGCTTGAGGTGCCTTCAGAGGCCACATTGCTGAAAGCTGGCTTTTCCTGCCCATTTCTACAGCTAAGTAACAGGCAAAATCCAGGGGAAGTACTATTTCAAGGCGTCACCATTGCCTTGAAGGAAACTGCTACTCCCCAGTAAAAAAATGGGAGGTAGAGTTTCAGTGAAATGACAAATGCTTCCCACAGCCCAGATGGATTGGATGCCAGAGATTCCACAGTTCTGTAGTCCATCCTGCTTTTCTTTAATATTGTTAGTAGCCTAATAATGATAGTATCTTATGGACAGAAAATGTAGTTTTCTTCTTCAACTCAGTTTTGAGGTCAATCATTTTTTTTTCAATTTGAGAGGATTTGGGATTTCTGAGATTATATTATCCTGGCAGTAGCATCTAGCCTAGAAAGGAAAAGAATAGATCAAGTTAAAACGGAGATGGACATTTTGTAGCCACAACAACAATAAATTTCCATGGACTAGAGGGGTGATAGCATCATTTCATTACTGGATTGAATTGAGTCAATGTTTTGGGAAGATCCTGCCCATCTAACAGTTCAGAAGCATGAAAATGCTAATGGGTAAATAGGTACCACTTCAGTAGGAAAATAACAGTGTTCAATGTATAGTCAGGCTGGTCACACGACCACGGAAGCATCTGATAACTTTGGCTCCCACAGCTAGGAAATGGAAATCAACACTGACCCCTAGAGTCAGATACAACTGGACAGGGAAAACCTTTACCTTTTTTTTTTTTTTTTGATATAAATGAAGTAGATGCCTTAAAGCTCTGCACACTTTTGTCTTCTTCTCTGGGAGAGAAATATTAGAGATTGCAGGACCAAGGTAGCATCTTAAATTTCTGCAAGGCTTAACAAATCACTTCACCAGTGGTGAAATCCTCCACAGTTTGCCACCGGTTCGCTTCCCACGCATGCACAGTGTGTGCCAAATGCACACTGCACGCACATGTGCAGTTCGCACCAAATGCTTGCTTCACACAGAAAAAGGAGGCTTAAGAAGGTAAATAGAACAGCGAGGTGGGGGAATCAGCTGTGCCACGCAATTTAGATTCTCTAGAAAGCAGAATTTGCTGCTTTCTAGCAAATATAAATCGCACGGCACAGCTGATCGTTGGAAATACCGGTTCAGACAAACCGTTAGCATTTTTTTACTACTGGTTCACCCAAATCGGTGCGAACTGGTAGTATTTCACCCCTGCACTTCACCCTTAAATTATCAAAATCAACTCACCCTATCCTCCCATTGACTGAAAATATCAATCTTGCCCATTGGGGCTGCTCTTGGTGTTGTGTTCAGACTGTGGGTGGCTCACCCTAACTAAAATTAGTGATCATGGATTAATTTTGAATCCCTGAAGAGCAAAGTAGACTCAATAATCTAAATGGGAAAGATCTCATAAGACTGCTCATTTGAAATTCTATCTTCTTACTCTGTAGCGTTAAGATAGAAATTTTATGCATGCTTACTCAGCAATAAATCCCACTGTGTTCAGTGGCAAATACTCCTGGGGGGAAGAGATTGCACTGAAGCCCTATTATATGGTTTTGTTTGTTTAGTCTATTTTTAATATCTGTACAGAATTTGTTAATAGTGTGCAATTATAACTACATAAAATAATGTATTGTCAGCTACCAAAATTAATGACTTTCTAAACTGAAAGAGAAGACTAGGAAGCAGGATTATAAAGTCCAATGTCTGTTTCTTCCCTAGTGAGCGTGAATACTATTTTTGAGGGAAATGGCAGGGGAACCTACCAGAGATTCTGCACAAGAAATAAAAATAAAATGCAGACGTATCTTGCAAATGCTTTTTTAAAATATTGTTTTGAGATACAGAAGAATGGTGAATGAACTCTTTAATTTAATGCAAGACAGCAGTGAGGTATACAAATTGTCTACAGATTATGAATTTGAGCCATGAACTGCTGGTAATAATGTAATGCATTATTGATTGGTCTCCATTACTCATCTTGCTGTAGTTGGCATACAGAGCCAATTGAAGCTGGATATAGGTTCAAAGAATGCTTGGTGATTTCAATTATTTAATTTGTTCTACTTATATATGTATAATTTGAGATGGAGAGAATACCTCCACTTCCTCTGGTGTCAACATACCTTACTTAGTTTTGTTACGTAAAGGTAAACCATTTGCTGTTCTGCATTAAGCAGTCAGGTGTCCTAAATTGAATTTAATCTACCACGTTTCCCCGAAAATAAGATCTCCCCCGAAAATAAGATCTCCCCCAAAAATAAGACCTCCCCTGAAAATAAGCCCTCGAAGTGACCAAACTCAGATCAGGAAAAGAAGCAAATTGTCCTGAGCATAAAATCTGCCCACCAGACCACCTCATCTGAAGGATAAAACCTCACATGAGACGTCACTTCCTTCCCACAGGTTCAACCCTTTCATCTCTAAAGATAACTTTAACTGTTCTCTGTCCATGAGTTTGCATTACAAACAGATACATTTGTAAAAACTTACAGCTAACTACTTCCCAATATTTTTATCTTGCCACTAGTATACTACCATCTTGCTGTGATACAGAGGGATTATAGAACAATTAGTACATCTCTGGATAGATGAAGACCCACATCAGGAAAAGAAGCCATTAGAATATGTAGGTGGAAGAACAAGTAGTATCAGAAAAGTTAGGAGGGAAACCTGGTTTCATTGCCTGGAAATCAACCTGTGCTCAAATGCAGCCTCACCCTATGATACTATCTCAGGATCAAGACCTATCAGGCACATTGTCATAGGGTTGCGCTAATGCAAAAATGTTAGTTACTAATCCACAACTGTCCTCCTCTGTGATGACTCTGAGTGACTTCAAAGTGTTTGGATTATCTCATAATAACTATGCATCATAATAACAGCGTCTCAAACACGAGAGATTTCAAAATCCCATTCAAAGTTGTTGGGCTTCTTCACTTGGCAATTAAACCACCTCAAACACCATTTGAGCCATAAGCATTCCTATCTGGGCCAGGATAAAATAATAATAATAAGAGCCTGTAGTAGAGTGGACTAAAGCACTGTTATTAACATCTGCTGCTTGCAATTACTGCAAGTTCAAATCTCACCAGGCTCAAGGTTGACTCAGCCTTCCATCCTTTCAAAGGAAATGAGGACCCAGGTTGTGGGGGCAATAAGCTGACTTTGTATAAATATACAAAAGTATGAAGGCTATTGCTTAATGCATTGTAAGCCACCTTGAGTCTCGAGAGAAGGGCGGTATATAAATTAAAGCAAAAAAAAAATGTTGCAAAACTGAATGATTTGCAATTTGTGCTCATCGGGACCTTTGCAGTAATTCCCCTACTGGGTATTCTCCTATTGTTCTGGCAAGGCCTTTGCCTTGAAGTGATGTGATTACAAAATAAGGATTAATATTTAAAGATTGCAAAA